TGCATACGTGCTGAGTAATTTATTACTTTTAGATCCAAAGTTAAGTTCACTGCTCTTCATATGCTTCCTAAAATTACTAAAGTACTTAATGTTTGTTAATAAATTGGGAAATATAAACCAGTTTAAAATAGAATTATCAAGCCAATCAATTAAAACAAGGCAAAACCGGGGAATTTGAGGAAGGAAATACATTTAAATTGTACCTATTACATAATATTTAAATTACAAAAACAAATGTTCAAAAATATCGTATGATACTCAGACGTCATCAGATTTCAGAACTTTCAGAAATATTTTTTTCATGCTAGGTACACACGTATAATTTGTATTTACAATTTTCTTGACCTACGTAGTAATAAAAAAACATATATTTTTTTTAAAGAAAATTAAAATTTTAAAAGTTTGGTCCCTGTGGCAGTGTACCTTTAACGCTGGCAGCATTTCCTCGTTGTATTGCGATACTAATTCGTTGAGCCAGCAAAGCACCAGCTCTGGGGTCACCGGTACTATAAAAACTACTACGTTCAGATTACTTTTTTATTTATTTATTCTTATTTGTATTTCTTTTGCTATATGTACCATGTTCCATGGAACATCTGTAGTCTTTTAAATCTGTTCTGACTAGTAGCGGGGGCTCTCTGTGTTGTTACAGCAATATTTTTTTTAAGTAGTCGTTTTAAGGATAAGATTCAGACATCAGACTGGAATTTTAGCACTAAATATCTCCCTTATATTTAAATCCAATACATTTTATATACAAAGTGAGCTGCTCTCGTTATACGCGCGTTATAAGCAAAGTTATACGTAAGTTTGAGTTTGCATGCCCAATGTTTATGAGAAAACCGCATAGAAAAGACTGTTTACAGAACAAAGTGGAGGCGTGTTCCGTCCATACGATGCCCTGAGTAATGGTTCAACAGTGTTGAGTTTCTGCAAAACTGCTTTCTGTAACGACTGATTTAGTCGGCTAATAAAACGCTTCGAGCCAACAACCATACATCATATTTCTTTATGGGTAAATTTTCGCAACGAACAAAGTGTTAATATTAATTTCAGGTTTATATGTAAATTCAAAAACTAATTTGATTTTGATTAAGAAAACTCATATTTAGTAGTAATATTTTAAACTATCAAAGCGATATTGAAACACTAAATTATTATGTATATAATTGACGAGTAATCAAAGATAAAAACAAAACTCTGCAGCCTTACAAGTCTGGACCTCCGATTTTTGGTTGCTGCTCATTTGTTTTGTTCTAATAGACAGGTGGGAGATAAGCCTTGACTCACGCTGTCAGGTTTTCTCACGATAGTTTGTTGCACCTTAAATGCGTAGACAAAAATTATCGATGCACAGCCGTCGAACTTACCTGCCACAGATATGAGAGTCGCACGCTGAAGCCACTAGGCCACAGCTCATAAATAATACATACACATTATCATCTCAAATCTATTTAAAGATTTTTGAAGTAATACTTCTTTTGGCGGGTTAATGAAAAATGATGAGAGTAAATTTTTACGATGTGCGCGCACACCGTCACAAAAAACCGACACCCGCACACCGTTACAAAAATCCGACACCCTGAATTAATTTTTTTGTGATATTTAAATCAACTTTATTTAACTAGATAATGCGTTATAATAAAACTTTCAATGTATTAAATACCTACCTTTTTGCTATTGTTAGTGTCGTATTTTCTACAAACGTAGAATAAGGCGAAAGATAAAAACCTAACGAACCTTTAACGAAAGATAAAAATCTTTACCCTAAAGAAGTATAACTTCTAACGCGTAAGTACTCACACGTTTTTTTAATGCGTTTTATTATATCAGCATAACGTAAACTTTTTGTACACAAGGAAGGAAATAATTAACTCGAATTTGTAGATGACAAGGTGACTCATAGACGTTATATCACTATTTGCGGTGAACATAGTTGTTTTGCGTGTCAATTAGTGGCTTACGTTTGTTAAATGGGCCCAGAGCGGAAATGTACGGAGATTATGCTTAGACTAATAGTTTATATTTGTGATAATAACGAAATAGTTTTGGTTCAATTAATAGGTAATGTTTAATTATGTACGCAAAAGGACTATGTTTATTATTTATCACTCATCGGATATTATTTCGTACTTACCTAAGTTGTAACGTTTATTAGATATATTAATTATAATCAACGTGCCACTTAAGATAGGTACTTATACTACTTAAGTACATAAACTTCTTTTCTTAAATTATATTCTTAAAAGGCCGGCAACGCACTCGAGCCTGAGCCAGAGCATTTTGAGTGTCCATGAGCGACGGTATCACTTAACATCAGATGAGCGTTCTGCCCGGTTACCCCTTGTTCCATCAAAAAAATATAATTTAATCGAATTAGACAAAATTATGTAATCAATACAAAATATGCAACAATTTCCCCATAGTACCTATAACACAGCTTTACCTCATAATTATCAAGTCTTCGTCTTAAAGAAACTTGGGTATTCCCATTGGATTACTATTTTTACGTAGCCAGTGACACGTGGGGGTCACGCGGGGGCGCGGGGTGTAATTCCAAGCACGTGACCGCACGATCTCTCTTTCCCGCCGGATTTGCGTTACAGTAAAATAAAAAGGGCGATTTGGCGCCCTCCATCGCCGCCGTCCGATTAGCGGCGCCCGGGGAAATTAAAAGTATTTTATTCGAGCATTTATTCCCTTTTTGTTTGTTGAATTATGTGCGGCGCGGCGTGTCAAACGCCTTCCATACTTGTATGACAGATGAGTGCAATATTGATAGCCGCATAACACGTTTTTGTTTCATTGTTCGTTTGTTTTTTTTTTCAAACGAGGTCTGATATAAAACTAATTGTGTTTGTTTCTTAATTTCTTTGCACTAAGTATTTTATTAATGGAGCGGACATGTAAAATAAGACATCATTTCACCAATACGCTAAAGAGGAGGATATTGTTGAATTGTTAGATATTAAGCGACTGTCGCCGACCTTTTTTACCAGGTATCGAATTCGAGACGTCACGGTCAGGTCATGTGTAGGCACGGAGATTTTCGTATTTTCGGTGTATAGAAAATGTAAATGAATTGTTCAGCAACCTTAAGCATTTACAAGTATCAAACCTAGGACTGCTTTTACAAAATGTTTTTTTAAATCACTAAACGGGCAGGTTTAAAGTCGGTGGCTATTATTACAAATCCCCTATCAGGCCTGGTGGCTAGTATGAAATAAATTAATTCGTACCATTGAAAGGCATAAAAGTATTTGAGTGTAGCAACCCCTAAGCATCGCCACCCTCTCTCAAGGGATGTTAGCGCTGATTTTTCTCATTTATGCCAACGGTTCATTCGATACTGAAATTGGGGAGGATTATTAAAGCAATTTTATTTTGCATCGTAATTACTATATCTGATTTGTCTAAAGTAACATTACGCATTTGACATTCGCTCGAACGGTGAAGGAAAACATCGCGAGGAAACCGGCTTGCCTTAGACCCAAAAAGTCGACGGCTTGAGTCAGGCTGGAGGCTGGTCATCTACTTGCATATTAGATTGACGAATGATCATGAAACAGATACAGAAATCTGAGGCCCAGACCTAAAAACATTGAAGCCCCACTAATTTTAATCATCAGTCACAATATTAACAATTCAGTAGAGAATGTATGTCAAATTAAAGTATAGCTATATTCTACATTTATTAATAAGATCGATCAATAACATAAATCAAACGCCATAATCAGAAAACCATACTAAATTTCTTTATGTTTTTCGATTAATGGCTATTCAAATTAACATAAATAACCTTACCAATACACCTATGATATAAAAATATTGCTTGTTGAAACTAAAACTACGAATTAATTATTCAGTGTTGTATGTTTCCTGGTAGGTGCAAATTTATGGTAAACAACTTTTAACTAAGAACCCTCAAACTATGAACCTAAAAACCTGTAAATCTAAGATCAAAGCGATAGATTAAGATCGCAATCCAACCCCATCGTTATTAAATGTTACAATTCCATAACAATAGACTATCGTACTTATTCAAGGAGGGCTTAATAAACAAATCTACCTGTCTAAGCCGAGGATAAGTTGCCCTTTCGGTTCGCGTCACGTAACAAGGGGGGACTCCTAATATTTCCGCCCTTTGTCGACAAACGATCCCTTTATTGAATCAGGGATACCTATAATCATAAAGCTGCTTTTTGAATGACAATTTGTTTCGCGCTTTATTAGTGCGTTGCATTTTTATCCCCTAAATGTTATTATTACTTATTACGAGCTTTCCCTATGGTATACATTTATTTATAGAATATATTTAGTTTTTGGTATTTTTGACACATATTAATTGTAACTTAGGGTTAGTTTGTAATGCGATACATTAATGCTTGTACACTTGTCTTTATCGTGATATTTAAATTAAAAATATCTTTTAACTTAACTTCTGTCCTAAGGTAACAAATGATATGATTATACGTAGATATCAGATTTAAATATAATACATTGAACATAAGCAATTACAAAACGACTAATAAAATAAATCTAATTCCTAAGACCATTCCTTCCTTATGAAAACACGTATCGTATATAAAGAAGCTCACATTTCTTGAATAGCTTTGTTCAGCTGGTCAAACTCGGGAGCGAGCAAATAAAAAGCAAAATATTGCGAGAGCAAAATATTACGAGCATATAAAGTGCGGCTGCATGCACTTCTCGTATGAAAACCTCGTGCCTCAGCACAACAGTTGACTCGAACAGACATACACACGCACACCGCATATCTACACTCGGCTTACTACAATAACGGCAGGAGGCGAGCAGGGGTGAGGCGTCCGGGGAGCCGTGACGAGACTATGCAGTTTGCATCGCTCCTCCAACCTTCAGCAACTTGCGACCCTGTTCTTGGGAATCGTTTTAAATTCAACAGCCGCAGAACACTCCACAGACGACAATACACCCTATATCGAGCGTAATACGAACCAAATTATCGTTGACAACACACTTTAAGTCATTTCGAAAACGACTATCTCAGGTACACACACAATATTTGAGACCCTAGAGCGTTGTTGGAAAGTTGAGAATCGTATGCGTGTGTTTATTGTAGAAGCCGATCCGGGTGTGAGTGCGGAGGTGAGAAATACATTAGCGGTACCGTTTTCTATTGGTCGTTGCTCCTGTGTTGATATGAAGCAGTCCACGTGGACTGATCCCGAGTTGCTTGTCTCTTTTTTTTTCGGCGAGTCGCGCACTATCCATCCCATTCTAATCTACAACGAAACGTGGAATGTCATGTCCGGAGTTGTTCTGAGAGTCGTGAGCGTGCATCGTGCCCCAACTATGTTCTTATGGAATAAAGAAACAGGGCTGATGCGATTAACCTTCGAATTCATATTGAATATCCTTCCGTTACAGTTCAATTTTCCATATCATTATGCTTGTTTTACGATTATATTAACATAACATATTGATAAACATTTTTAAGTCAATTAAGGTTGTAAGCTAAAAGCAGTTGTTGCTACATTTAAATTACCGCCTGGCATTCACATAACGCAGTTTTTTCGTGTCGACACGATTTTATTATTTTGTTTTATGGTATAGTTTTATATATACTAAAAACAGAAATTAATATAATATACCTATGATAAACAGGTTCCTTAAATTATTACAACTATAAAAGTTTTGAAAATTTTCCAATTACAAAACTTTTATACTTAAACTTTTATACTTATTCATAGTTTAATCAATATAACCATAGTTAGTTGCTAATTTTATGAAGCCGATCTCGGTACTTAGTTCAGTATCAAATCACTACTATCTATATGTACAATACTTGATAATACGAGCTTATGTTCAAGTTATTTTACATTTCGTATGATTTTTTTACCTTCTAAAAATCATTATATAATTGTATCAGACTACTTGGGATTAGCTTAAAGTGTTCCAGATGATTAAATTAAATTAATAAAAAATATCTCCAAACCTATATTGGGTTAAAAAATCTCAACCAAACCAAAAAGCTATCTTTCTTTTACTACAGTAACGAGAGACATCTGTTAGTACATTTTCTTCTAGGCAGTTTTAGCTAGCGCTATCTAATGTAATTTTTTAGAAACATAACAAATCAAAACGTATGTAGATGGCGCGGCAGAACATTATTACTCAGCTTCATATAACCAATTATTTGTCGTCATTTTCAATTACAGGTGTTCAATGAGTTATTTTATTGTAATAAACAGATTATAGTTATATTTATCTTATTTTTGTATATTGTCATTATTGTTTGTCAAATTAAAATTTAATCTTAAGTCATCCATCAAAGCAAAGGAAATTATAGTTTATCTGTCAAAACTGCTTGAAAAATAATTTCAAAATAGCATTGAAGTTTGAAATCTGTATCTATTCTATGTTTTATTAGTATTTAGTAGCTGAACATTGCCCAAGCTTGCAATTTTCAGCTAGAGTGCTTTTCATGAAAGAAGTCCCGCGGTGATTTTTGGAACTAAATTTGACAGGTCGGCAATGTTGTCTTTCGTCGATGTTATTAAGTTCGTTTGTTGTGGTAGATTTTTGTGAATTTTTAACTAGCTTAGTGCATTTTAAAGATTGATTACAATGCCAAAAGTTGTAAAAATTTCGGCTCGAGAAATGATATTAAAGGTGAAAGAGTTCTATGAAGCGGAACATAAGAATCAAGGTGTTTTAATACCACTAAACAATGTTCGGAAGAGAGTTGCCGCCATAACAGGTACCTTTTAGAGTTGCCATTTAATAATTTTTTGCTGTATTGATGGGACTTTTATGATATAAATTCGTTTTTGCGACAAAATTGAACAAATACATAACGTGGTGAAACTAGGTAACTGAAATTAAAACATATATTACATTTAACATAAGCATTATAAACTTAGTTATTATTATTTTTAATTGTTCATAATTTAATTGCAGGTGTGTCATAGAAAACTGTAACAAGAATTACAAACGAAGGTATAACAGCGGCGTGTACTTCGAAAAATTGTAACCCAACAATTATGCAATAAAACTCTGAATAAAAAATTGTATTGCTTTTCTTTACCCTATTTTCTCATCTTATCCCTGTAAGTAGGTAGAACACCGCTAATATAAGTAAATAAAATATACTTTTTACATAACAGAAATATTGTTCATCGAAGTATGCAGAAAATAATATTATTTGATAAATTACATCTGCTAAATGTACATAAAATAGGTAATTTTTTTACTCATAAATGGCAACATTACGTCATGCGATTGCAGCGCCGCGTCTGGGGACTTCTTTCATGAAAAGGACTATACTAATAAAACATTGACTTGAAACTGGCATAAAGTTAAAATTATTGCCATAATATTAAAAAAAAAAAACTTTGTATATTGCATGGAATGAGGTTGTTTTGTTTAAAATATAAAATTACTAGTTAGCCCGTTTCTCCGATAAGCGTTGATGTCAAATAAACTGTATACTTTTAATTTTAAATAAACTAACTTTTACGATTTCAAATAATTCAATAAAATACAAGTCGACAAAATAACAAAACAGAAATAATTTTGTATCTGTAACTGTAATTTTAACGTAGAAGGGTACGATTCATCATCTATGGCCATATGTAATGTTTATTGTTTAATGGCGGACTGACGACTCAATCTCATCACTCAGTAATCAGTATACAGAAGTATTCTACTCAACACTACACATATCATAGTCTCAACCTAGTCTAGTAGACTTACTACTTCGTGGCTAAATTATATTTAGAATGGTAAGAAAACCATGAAAGTTAATCGTAAAATTACTTTCTATTGTCATATTTCAATAAATATTTAATCAGAATTGGAAAAAGTTTCGCACTTATTCAGTTATAATTTTGAAATACATGTTTACTTACGAAGGCGCACAGCTGTATAATAAACTACCCACAGATATAAAAAATATTACTTCTATCAATTCATTCAAATCGAAGCTAAGTGAATATGGTAAACAAAATTACTTTTAAATTCATTTCTTATAATTACTTTTAATTCATATTTCTTTGGTTACATTTATTTTTTAAGTTTATTGCATGTATCTATCTATCTAGGCTATCTTTTATTGTGATTATTTTAAGAACGACTACAATGTTATGCTAATCTAGAGTATTATTCTCATGTAAGTGAAATTTTTTGTCTTTTTGAGAAATAAAGTCTTTAAACCTAAACCATAACAATCTATGATGTTATAGTTTAGGTTACACCTAACATAATAATCTATGATGTCGTTTATACACACTACACAGTTACAATTTACATTATTAAATTTTGATGTGGTGTCAACTGTCAAGTGTGAATTGTGATCTAATAAAAACTTGAGTAAATTATATTATTATTTATTTAGTATTTACTATTTACCTTTACCATCGATTGAGGATGTCGTTTTAAAAGAAGGCGTAGCCTGAGTTGTTATTGTGATATTAATATAATTCAAATTAATATGAACCCGACAATTGTTTTACTATTCTCTGGTAAAAGAAAATGCGGTAAAGATTTTATAACTGACCATTTACAAGCCAAGTAAGTTATTTTAAATCTTTAAAAATATAAATATTATGATAAGTTATATCTATACACATTATTTATAGCCTTCAAAAATAGTTTCACTTCCCTTGTAATTTAAAACAGAATTTCTTCATTTTTTTCAGATTAGGTGATAAATGTGAAATTATAAAGATTTCTTTACCAATAAAAAGTTACTGGGCGAAGGAAATGAATTTAAATTTGAATGAGCTACTGAGTGATGGTGCACTAAAGGAAAATTATAGACTTGAAATGATCAACTGGAGTGATAAGATGAGAGAGAAAGATTATGGCTGTTTTTGTAAAGTTGCTTGTGAAAACGGTATGTATTATAAGTGTGAATTCTCATAGATTGTCAAGGCATTAGGCAAACATAGTTATGGATTCTTATGGCCTTGCAAATGAAAATAATAAAATATATTTTAACTGGAAAATCAATTCAGGGCCATTGGGTTATTTGACTATTTTAGAAAAATAACTTCTAACACTGGCCTGATTTCTCTTTGTTTATGATTATTTTTTAAACAATATCATGAATTTTAGTTTTAGTGTTATCTTCTCTTATATTTTTTCTAGCTAAAGGAAAACCAATATGGATAGTGAGTGATGTGAGACGTGGTACAGACATACAGTGGTTTAAAGAAAACTATGGCAATAAAATCAAAACTATTAGGCTTATTGCTGATGAAGATACAAGAAGAGAAAGAGGCTACAAATTTAAAAGTGGGGTTGATGATGTGGCGTCTGAATGTGGCTTAGATAATTATAGTGGTTGGGACTTAGTTATTGAAAATGGCAGGAATAGAGATTCAATAGAAAAACAGCTGGAGAAAATAATCTCATTAATTTCAGTATAGTTCTATTTATAGGCACATATACACTTATTCTGGTTTTTAGGCAAACACATGGGATATTGTATATAGCTAACTTATAAATGTTAGTAACCATATTAAAAATTATATGTAGCTCACTAATAACTGTATAATTTTTAATTTGGATACAAGTTATAATATATATTATTATATTATTAATATATTATTACTTATAAGTTATAATTGATATATTTAGACATTTAGGCTGATTAATTTCAACTTGGTATTTATTACAGTATACATCCTACTAAAATGAGGTATTATTAAATAATTAACTAAATTAATAAGTACAACTTATTTTTATCTTAATCTGCTTGATTTAGCTGCAATAGAATGCTAATGACATGTTAATAATTGCATAACTAAATAGATTTCTTATTGTTGTAATTTAACATACAAACAATGCAACATTATACTTAAGTTAAAAAAATTACTGATTGTACATACTTCAGTTGTGCAAAAGATAATTAACATAATTTAGTTAAGCCTTTTATGAAATGATCATCACATAGCATCAAATTAACATGTTATGTGAATCAGTCTGATGTAAAATCTCGAAATGTGTACCTGAAAAATTTCACCTTGTATCTCTACTTCTAGCCTAAAGGCTAAGCTTATTTGATATAATGTATCGAGTCTTATGAATCTTTTGGTTTTGCAGGGTATTATTTAATAATTTATATTAGTCTATGAGACTGTTTTGGGACATTTTGATAAATATAAACATAACATTTTTCACCATAGTTTTATTTTAATTTTTAAAAATATTTTTTTTTTTAAATCTTGCATTCCGCGCCATTTTCCTTCAATATAAGGCTATTTAGGGTATACATATCTATTTAAAGTATACAATGTTAGATGACTCAATCATAGAAATTAGTGCATTTTTTATATATATAATAAATAATATTAACAGGTTAATAGATTATACAAGTTACAGGAACAGGAAGGATTACACATGGAAAGGAAAGAAGAGAATCAAAGGCCGTTCATTGCCTTTGATTCTCTTCTTTACTTTCCCAAGACTGTACATTTTGCTCATTTTCTTAGTTTTATAAGCGTGGCGATTTTCTAAATCGTCGGAGCTACGACCCCAGAATATAGCCAAATGCAGGCACTCTTCGAATGTTACATTGCATTAATTCGTTACATAGCAATTAACATTTCATTATTTCACTTATATTCTTTATTCTATTGTTATAGGTGAGTGGTTAATATAGAGTAAAACTAAAATCCTCTATTATTTAAAGCACCCCGATGACCCAGGAACCGTACAGGCGGTAAATAAATGATATGAATAATGACGTCTAAGTAAGGCAAGCACAGGATCAGGACCTGCAGATAAATTATTAAAAATGGTAATGGCATACAGTAGTTAGTAGATAAATGGCATCAGTCGTTCGGTAAAGGCATCTGCATGGCTAGATAGTTCGAAGAACTGAGAACCTTTGATATCTTTTCTTTTAGAATGGTATGAACAGCTCAGGCGCTTTTTTGGCGAGTCAAACGGCAGGCGGTGGAACCAGTGTCAAATGATTACTTTGAATAACAATGATTACTATATAAACACTATAACTATCTACTATCGGATTTATAGATCTATTATAATAATAGCAAATCGAATAAACCACAAGTATCGGTTTTAAACTGATTACACTTTGACGTTAATTTGTAAGCTCTGACATATATATTAGCTAACTACAATTCTAATTAAAGTATGGATTCGATTCGATTACACCATGCTTCACTTCACATAGGTATACTTATATACTTATACTCTTCTGTTTTTTGGGGGATTACTTGTATAATACGGTCAACACTTCCATTTCCATATATCCTCTAACAAAACATGAGTGCAAGAAGACGGTTGCACTGTGGCTACTGGACCTCAACTATGAGGAAACAGAAAAAATGCTTACCATAATTAAATAGTTGAGTATAAAGTTGATGCTAATCTATGTTAATAATAGGGAATAAATTTTTAGTACAATAGTTTTAGCTTTATTAGATTAACACTTAAGTAATAAAACATAGACAGACACACACCCACACACATAATTTACGCATACACACATACCCCATGTGGTTTCCTTATATGTGTATTCCTATAAGTATTGCAATAATGATTGTTTGTTCTCACTAGAGTTTTCTCTACTATATATTGTATTATATTGTATAAGACCTTCTGTCGATCCGAAGTGGTGGAGGCCTGATGACCTGTAACACAGGTACTCTTACCTTTAGCAGGCATCAGTCTCACACAAATTAGCTTTTTCCCTAAACAGAAGTAAGACAATTATTTATTTATAATAGTATATAACTGTCACTTGCTCATATCCTAAGTTTTTGTGAGAAATAAATAAAGATTATATATACTTAGAAACAAAATGGTCATAATAATAAAGCAACATATAAAATAGTTACTTGCAATTTCATTTTATTGCAATGAGAACAAAACACTAACTCGTCGATCAACGTTAAAAAGGAAAGTAAATATATTACCACACGAAATCAAAAACGACCTGAAAACATCTTTTGTCACTACTCTTTACGAAGACACTGCTACGAAGCCACCGCTACGTGGAACCAGCTGCCCGTCGAGGTATTTATGAACCAATAGCTATTTATTTATTTAATAAATACGACTAACGGTCCTTCAAGAAAAGACCAGCGAGGTTGGCAACGCACTCGCAAGCACTCTGGCATTGATAGTGTCCATGGGCGGCGGATGGACATCCGATGTTATCACTTAACATCAGATGAACCTTCTGCGCTTTTGCCTCCTGTTCTTAAAGAAAAAAACTGTAACCGCAAGTAGAACCCGTTTACGAGCACGACGCATGGCCAGCCATCATACCTATCACAGGGAGAGGGACAATCCGACGCCTGAACACCACCACTAACAATGGCATTTATAATTTATTCCGTGTATTATACCGGTGAAATTCATTTGTTTTAAGATCATGTATATTTGTACATTTAATAAATTTATATTGTGTCATTATTTTAAGTTACTCAAACTTTTTCCGCGAATTGTCCACTTCTGCAGCACAAATATGGATAGAATATCCGCAGCAGTGCCCCATAAAAGAATACTGCAGGACATAACGCTATAAAAATAACTAAGATAGACTGTGTCTAAATAAGGCTGTGTCTTGAACAGTAAACTGCTGAATTTTCCATTACATTCCATAATTTATTTAGCTATGACAAAATGATGTTTACAGCACTCCCTATCGATAATTTATTCGTACTAGAACTGCAATACCGTAATTTACATATGGCCATAAACAGCTTAAGTATGTGGCTTTTCTGACATTTATTTAACATTTCTGTAATTAGATGTCATAATGATTGAGAAACAATCATAAATTAAAAATGGGAGTGAATTGAAGTTATATACAGGGAGTTTATAACTCGTTACTCGTCTCTTAGCCTGAGTTTATCACTATATTTTACTTTTAGGTTTTTATTCAGATTCCGATAGCAAAATAGTGGGGTATTTTTTAGAATCGAGTGAAGGAAGTAAACATTCATTAATAACTCATCTTCGACACCTATTTAAAAAAATATGAGGACTCCTGTTACTTTATTGGGGTTACCAAAGTGAGTCGAGTTACTGTAACTTCTAGAACATGCTATATTACCCCCCTAACATGTAATGGGCTACCTACAAATATACGAAAGTTGAGCACTGGAAGAGGAGACAGATAAATTTGGCGCCTAACTGCCTAACGTTTAAATTATAATTTATTATTATAATATTTTAGAAATGTTATGTTTCTCGGAATTAAGACAGTTTACGAACTAGTAACTAAGTAATATCAATTGAATATATGTGATCGTTGATGGCGGCACAACCTGTCATTTGAGAACTGATGTAAGAAAACCCGCATCGGAGCAAGCGGCGCCAGCAGGCGGGGCGGGCAGAATCACACGATTGTTGCCAGAAATCGCACTTGCGGATAGAGACGGTAGTATTACTCGCACACATCACCGCCGTCCATGATCTACATTTGAAGTATTCGTTTACTTGTGTGTGATTAGAGTTTCGCAGAAGCGCGCAGAGCGAGGTCGCCTACCTAAGGCCCGTCCTCGCATTTGTAGGTCTATGGGCGGAGGGTATCGATGCAGGTGCGCGCGCATGACCTGCGCCCCTCGCGTTCGATTTTCCCGTCCGAGCAGCGGTGGCGGCGCGTTGCATAACTTCGCAGCGGCACTCCGCGCGCGACCTTACCCCGAGCGCCACCGCGAGCGCGACCACGCGCACACACGCGCAACGCGCTTCGTCGCGCCCTTTACGTAACGCGCGACCGTCGCGCGCTGTCCAAACTCGGCGTTGCAAACGGATAAGGTTTGGAGTGATAAGTGTGCTTCGTTTTGGCTTTCGTCGCTTCTGGCTTTATTTCGTAAGGAGCTGGAGCGTGGCGGGCCGGCGGTGGGCCGGTAGGTGTCGCAGTGCGTTGCCTTTGTCCCTCGCTGGTGGCGGCGCCGGTGGTGCTCGCGTGCTGAATAATTGACGCGGAGGCTGGCCCGTGGCCGCTATCGACCTCTGTCGCGTGACTCGCGCGTATTACCCGCGACTGAGGCAAGGACGCCGCGCTGGCTGCGGCAATACGCCAGCGGCAGGCGATCCGCCGCGCTAGACCCCACCGACACCGCCACCACTCTTTATTATCTATTCTATCGATTGCTATTGTAATTACTCACGTTTACGTCATTACAGATATCTTAATACCAAAGGTAATCCTCGCAGCTGGACTGCTAATGATGTATCAGCACTAAATCGATCCAACCTATGCCTAGCTTTCTATTGTATTTTATTATCGCTTGTTTTTCTCTTTATGTAGATAGAGGTAAATGTGTAAAGTAACTTTTAAGTTCTTTCTTCTTGACTCTTTTTGTTATAAGGTCACAAAACCTATATGGTAAGATAGTAATTTCATATTATAATGAAGAAAAAAACTGCAATTTTAAATCTATTTTAAACATTCAATTATGAATTCGTACAAAGAAAGGCTTCCAACAATCCTCAGTATTGGTTTAAGGTTACGTAAAACCAGCAAAATATATAAAGTTGTATCTTATTACATAACGATTTAATATTTAGTTGGGTATGTCTTTAGTTCCTGAAAAACCATGACATATGTAATGATTTAAGTTTATTAAATTAAAAATCAAATTGGTTGCGTCGAGAAAACTTCACGCTACAAACTTCAAAGCAGTGTTAAATGAATATTAAAACTTTATAATAAGTTACACCTTATTCATTTATCCATTTACAAATCATTCGTAACTACTAAAACAAAACAAATTATTTTTTTGTTTGAAATAAAGTTAATCTTCAATATATTTTATTAAAATACGCGCTGATTTATAATTTTCTTCGATGTTGATCTCCTGGGATAAGACCTCTTGTTTATCTAATAGCTTTACATCTAATAAATTTTAGAATAAATTTATTTCTTAGCTCAATAGACGTCATATTGTATTGTAAAAGTGAACAGCGTTTTTTCAATTAATATGTCTATTATGTATACGTATATATATTACTATAGTTTAGTGTATTATTTCTAGTTAAAACATCGGGTTTCACTGTTATTTCTCTGAATATCGCTTTATTTTTTATGAATCTAATAAGAACATTTGAAATATAGTTCACAAACTTGATATAAGTATGTTTTATCTTTATTAACATAGATAATATATAACTGACCATGTCAGTTGCCTACGCCTTGAATCGAGGCAACAAAACAACCTATTGAAAGTCGTGACTAACTTGAGTTGTCCTATGTCCCACAGTGATCCTCCTTCGCGCTCGGTTTTGAGCCTCGCGGTATATTTCGTCGCTCCAAGTCTTTCCGGATCTCTATGCCTCATCTGCAACTGTACGTTACCAGGTTTGTTTGGAACGGCCACTTTCATTTCTTTTCCTCAGGCCAGTAGATACCCTGAATTCGGTAAAGACTGAGGTCGACCAAGACTTCAGTTAGAGTCGGTGAGAGATGTCAATAGTGACTTTTCACGTTTCACTCATATAAGATGTTGGTTAACCTCCACTCTATTCCGCGGCGTTTGTTGTGGGTTGTGCGATGCATGATCCCGACGAAATCAACCAGGAAAAGCAGGAGTAAACAGTCTTGTACTCGTATACCGCCCGCGTGCACCTAAATATCGTCTGAGATCAAGCCATCCTGAATCACTCTACAAAAATAATTCCTGAAGTTGCTTTTAGTATGTTAATCTTCTGTTGTTGCGAGTATTGATTTGGTCTGTATACGAGCTAATAGAGAGGAAGCCAGCATGGTATATGCACCAATTGCTGTACTGGCTTAAGCTAACTTGTCCTGCGCACAGTAATAAGAAGCTCTCTTTTCCTGTCCTGTGCTCCTCGTTGGTCTCATAAGTTAAAATTCATAGAGAGCCAAATTATATTTAAGATTGGCAGAAATATCTTTCTTCTGCGGTTTAACATGTTCTTACTCAAATTTACAAAAAAAAAAAAAAAAATGATAATAATTGTGATATTGTCATCCGAGTTGGAAAGAACGCAGTTAGTGGCATGTAAATGTAAGTGGCTACTTATGCCACTTTTCCTCTGTTCTATGAATATTTACGTCTTGTTCTCTCGTTATGCAAATACTGAATTTCTATTGAGGTCTACGACCTCTTAGATACAGTAGATCTTTTAATAGAATGTCATATAAGATAACTCGAAATGTATATTTTGGCTTTACCCATCCAGTTAGTGACACTACGTTGTAGTGTTGAAAGAATCCTTTTATGATAGTGTAGGAAAATGACTCGAATTGACTCATGTATTTGCGTATATGAAAAAAATACACAATAAACAGAGCATAGTTAAGACCCAGGCCCCATAGGTTTCATTATAATATTCCTTTCAATAGAAGATAGACGCAGTTTATGTTGGTAAAAAGCGCCTGGTCCTTTACTCTTATTTTAAAACACAGCATAGTATAAATAATATCTTGCGTTCGGAACTTCTTTAGTTACTTCAGATTTTAATTAAAAGTCGTAGAAAAGTATGAATACACTAGCTTGATAATACGCATTGTAAACATGACTATAGTAAGACAAAATTAGTTTTATTCCGATTCAAGTTTTCGTAGTGACTTGCACCAACATATAGTATATCTCTGCAATTTAATTTCCAGAGTGAAATAGGAATGAATGTGGACCATAATAATAAATGATCTACAACATAGATTCAATAACATCGGTCTGAGCTTTCTAACACTGATTAAATACAATATCTGAATATATGAATACAAGTCATATAAATGTATGAAATCGCATTTTATATTCAGAATTACGCAGTGTACTTGTCCATTCCGTGTCTTCTACAGCAGTATAACATATAATATTTCATATACAAGAATGCCATTTTACTGCTAGGTCGGAGAATAAACGTCGCTATATATAAAGTTGAACTGGCATAAAGTGTGGTACTTGGCTCGCCTTGACGAGACGAGCAAAGCTTTGAAACGCTACGCTGAATAAGAGGGCGGGTTTTCTGTCAGCTGATAATATTCAGATCGTCTTTGACGAAAATCGATCGAAGAGGTTCTTAGGTTTGGCAAGGTAGCTTTAGTCACTAGCTTATGAATAGGATTATATTTGTCTTTAATAAATGTTTTTGCATAAATTTGGTGTTTAGTCGCTACGAGAGGTGCTACGGCGTAGGCATATGCGGCTAGATTGTTGAAAACAGATAATTGAGACATGTTTATATACGTGTAGATCAAATAGTTTAAAAATTCTAATATATCGTATACTTATAAAAGTTACCATTAAACCTTTTAGAAGATAATCCCACACCGTTTGTAGATATTGCAGGGATATTTTTTGTGTATCATCATTCGTTCGTACTGTACTTGACAGTTTATTTAACTACTTGGCCCACATCTAAAAGCTGTCCACAAGACCTTTATGACCCTTTTCGTGCCATTTATTTTTGCAAACAAATTTCAATAAGTAACGGTATGTTCTAAATTTGGTTAAGCTAACATTTCTGAGTTTTGCGAAAATCACTTTGACAACGACGCATAGCAAGACAAATTGATTTATAATACGTTCACGTTTTTATTGACCCAGATTAATGTCTTGACAATTTTTTTTATACCTAGAACGTAGACTAACCGGAGACGACTGCTATTTCTACAGTTTTGTTGCTGTAATAGTTCCGTAAGTGCGGAATCGGACGTACCTTTTTGCATCTGTGATCATTTATATGGTGACCATGCCATACAACCTAAAATATGTTATTACCATTGGTTTACGTTAGTTAAATTTACGTAATTAACGACTAAGTGTTATTTTTTTTAAAAGCTGAACTTTTCAAATACTTAACATATGTAAAATATGTGTCGAATAGCGTTAATATAATATTATATATTGAATCGACGAAATCGACGACGAAAATAGAGCCTAACCACAGGTCCACGTAGTTATATATAAATAAGTATACCGCGTAGCGATATTATAAAGATTTAAAATTTGTAAGTTTTTGAGCTTAATTGTTTCTCTTAAAGATTTGAAACTTATTTAGACTATTACACCGCTATAATTGTAATGATTTTAATTAACATTTCTGCTTTCCCGATTCACACGAACAAAACCGCGGCAGTAACCATAAATTAACTTCGTGAATAAATAAATTCAGGGTGGCTCCAATCCTTAATCACATTTATTTTTAGGCAAGTAGATGATCACCGTTCTGTTGTTCTGTGTTCTGTGCCCGCATCGAAATATCCATAGTGTAACACAACAGCCCGAACGCAACATGAGAGAAAACCAAACATCTTTTATTATAACAATTTGTACGCATACAGTACACATACACGAATTAAGGTCAAATATTGAATGCTTTTCGTGGAACAACCCGTGGCGTGTTTACAGGACAATTATAGGTAGAACTTTTAGCATTAAGTTTAGTTTTTAAATATTGTTGCAAATAACGACTGTCACGCAACCTTTCCCAAGTATAGTACTTTACCAGTATAAGCCTATCATTTGACCTTGCTTTTCTTTTCCTTGTTCTTTAGGTCTTTTGGTAATGAATATTTGCAGCGTTAATTAAAACGTTATTGTGCCACGCAACTAAAGGTTAAAAACTATACAGTCCCAGTAATGTGTGTACCCCAAACCCCATTTTGAATATGGTGTAAAAACAATTAGAACATGCTTATTATGTTTGTATTACATCTAGAACTTGTCTTGTATTGATATACATATGTATGCAAGCTATTTTGTGTTTTAATAAACTTCGTGGTACAAAAAATGACCAGGTAAATAAACCAAAATGAAGGTTTTCGACCATATAAGAGCTGAAATCTCTTACTCCATATAAGCATTTAATGTAATCCATTTACGTATGGATAATCTCTTGGTGCTAATAATAATACTTTTAAACCACGCGATGTGATCATAACAAATGAAGAGGAAGTAACAATTTATCGATACAACACAATCGGAATAAGCGTTATTATTTAGGTTTAGTTAGAAGTATTAATATTCATTTAGAAAACATTTCGACAGTTAATCTATCGGCGAAGATACGCCTATAAGATAATGTCAGATTCTGACACGTTTTTGATTCGTATATTTTCAAATTAACTTTTTTTAACAATAAATTATTGGTACTATCGCGAGCATTGCAAAAATATTGAATAGAAATCTTTATACATTAGAAATAAAGTAATTGTATGCGGAAAATACTTCTTAATACTATATAATTGAAATTTTATTATTTAATTTTCTATGATATTGATAAAAATGAAAATACATAATTGAAAAGAACGCAATTTCGTTCCCAAGCAATCGTCAAGCAAAATATGTCCTATTACGTAAAATACGCAACGATTCGAACTCAGAGAACCCAAGTCAGAGAAGTTACTCCTGAAATACTTGATAATAGAAAAAATGATGATTTTTATTTATTTTCTTCACTAATAGAATTGCTTCAAAATGTCATGTGAACAAAAATTTTGGAAGACAAAATGCTTGTGGAGCTTGTGTAGAGGAGAGATTTCTTGTCAATTCGTTTCGTTCTACGCCGATGTCTTGATAATTGGCAGTAAAAATAAATAACAATGATCGAATAATTCTATAAAAAAACAGTTTAATTTCACTGTATTTTAATTATTTCAAATGGATGACATGGCTAGGCCCGTAAATCCTCAGTAAAATTGTGAAAACGACCCTGAGGGCCTCCGCAATGCGGCTGTTGCTAGTAACCAAAATGTTTAACTAGGTATCGCTTACTCTGATGAGTATCAGAGCCTGGAAGGAGTCCCACGTATCATACAAATGTCACTAATACTGAGGAAACGCAACTCCCCCGGATAATAATAAATAGCCCATTGAGTAATGCAGAGGCCATTACAAATACGGATAGAATATCACGTTTATTGCCTCCCAACAACTCGTGTTTGTTACTCATGGGCACTCTCAATTCCAGAAGGCTCGCGAGTGCGTTGCCGGTCTTTTAAGAATTGGTACGCTCTTTTCTTGAAGGACCCTAAGTCGAATTGGTTCGGAAATACTTCAGTGGGCAGGTGGTTCCGCATAGCGGTGGTGCGCGGCAAAAACAGTCTTGAAAAACGCTACAACATTTGTAACTCAAGAACAAGTAGATAAATTTTTATGATTTTAGATTGGTCCGTAATGGGATAATACTAAAACAAAATGCATTAATATAAAAACAATTACCATTAAAAAACATCAGTCATCAGCATCAGCTCATTTACAAATTGTATAATAAAATGCAACAGCTCATAAAATAATAATATTTTTTTAAACCTACTTTTGTTTATATAACTAGCGTAATTTAGATATAAGATTTTTTTCCTGTGAAACAAACTTGAAATAAACTATTATTATTATATAATGATGTCTATATTTTT